ATTCCCGAGCTCATTCTAGTGTCATGGAATAGTTTTTTTTTCTTTTGTAGGTTTTTATGACATGTAAGGTGAATTTCGTGGACAGAAAATTCTGCGCGAATATTTTAAAATCACATTATCCCGATTGTTAGAGTAAAATTCAGGGACATATAAGAAATATTACTCTATATTCTTAAATTATAACTTTAGCGGCGTCTTGTCAAGGCCAGGTAGACCCTAGTTGTAAGGAGGCAGCGTGGCCGAGCGGTTAGAGCGTTAGACTTGCAACTCGGAGGCCCCGAGGTCGAGTCCCGCCCTGATCGCTAGCTGGATTTGTTCACGGTAGTCCGGAGTTCAAATCCTCGACCGCGCTTGTAAATAGCCAACTGGTTCCACCTCCGACCAGTTGGGATTCTTAATGCTGTTATGTTTGATTTAAATTATTTGTTTTATACATTTGCTCGGCCCCACTAGCATTAGTGCTACAAATACTGCCGAGGGTAAATAATGGAATTATTATTATTATTATTATTATTATTATTATTATTATTATGATTATTATTATCATTATTATTATTATTATTATTATTATAAATAGTTGACTTACCAGGCTTCGACAAGAACTGAAACCCTGGGTAAGCCTAGTTTTGCCAAGCATTTAGAGTAAGCCTGATTAAAATTTGAAAGTCTGAAAAACCAGATATCCACTCGAAAATATAAAACCAAAAATTTTTGGTTAGTTTGGCATTTCCAGGTTTTCGTAGTAAGCCTACTTAAAGGTACTCGTCTGAAAAGCTGGTTAGACCTGGTTGAATTAAAGCCTACGAAGTTTATGTTAGCAACCCTGGCCCCTGGTTAGTAAGTAATGCAAGACATATAAGCAGACGGCAGGCCTGGTTTTTCACGGCTCACCTGGCTTGTAAGCTCAGTTGGAGTTCACATGAAAAGCTTGGTATCTTAAAGCTATCACCTAGTCAGCTAATGCCAAAAGTATGTCAACCAGCCAGAGCTAGCCTACCATGCAGACCTTACAGTTTCGCCAGGCGTTCCTCACGAGCCTGTTCGTGGGGAAGCAACAAATGGCGAATCCCTAATGTAACGGCTGCCTTGGAGGCTAGGCCCTGAGAGCAAACCTGGAGGTAGAGCGTTTTCCCCCGTTCTGCTCCAAGAGAGCTTGCTCGTAGGCTAGAAGAATATGGCTTTGTGTATTTATCATTTTCCCAATCAAATGTATACGAAGTAGATGTATTTAACCAAGGAGTTCTAAGTTGAGGAAAAACAAAACTGGTCCAAATTAGCGGGTGTCCGCATTAATAGGGTGTTCCCAAAGCGGGTTTCATTAAGCATTTTGAATTAAACAGAAGCTATTAGAAAATGCACTTGTGGGTTTTACTTGTCTTTACCCCAAATGTTATCGGAATAAGCCGTATTTCAACGCCTGGTTTAAAAGCTGTTAACTTTGCTAAGGCAAAAGAAGGAAGGAGGTTAAAAGGAAGTGTTATACAAGCAACAGAGGTGGAATCTGAAGGCGCGTGCAGGCTTCAATGTGTCAATGAAGAGCGATGCCGTTCTTACAACTTTGGAATTACCATTAACGAAGGTGGGGGCTCCTTGTGCCAACTGAGTGATTCCGATAGATTTGCTGAGGCAAGTAACTTTACAGAAGATGGCAACTTCAAGTACAGAGGGATACAGGTAGTATCTCTTCTATCAACACCGGTAATGGTAATTGTTACACCATCTTACCTAAATTGAGCGCACATGGTTTGTTTTTAAATCTGTGGTCCTAGGTTAAGGATCACAATTATGACGCAGAATACCTTAAGTAACGGTACAAAATCATGTCCTCTCAAGAATGAGTGTTTTAATGATTATGAGTAGGATACAAATCAAGATGTTAAGAAAAACTTTGCAACACATTTAACTTTTATAACTTTTAATTAAAAAAACCTCGAAAACAATTGAAAATGAAGCGATTTAAGCTAAAATAACTAAACGATAGTTCTATAGTTTGGTCTAACGCAATTCTCTGCGAGTCTGAACTGTACACCAATTTGTGCACTGCAATTTATGTCGAAAATCAGTTAACTTCAACGGAGAAAGCTGAGAACGTTTTTAAGTGTTACACCTGCACGAAAGACGACTTGTTTGCATTATCAATAATGCAAGACGTTTTACTGAACTCAAGCAGTTAGCTTTTCTAAGAAAAGTTTCAAGAATAACGAAATTAGCTTTGCCTTTACCCAATTCAATTAAAAATTTCATTCTAAATAAATTAACACTTAAAAGTTGGTTTTAAGTTGTTGCAGTTGTTGTTTTTGTTGTTTTGACCCTTGGTTTTCGACCACGTGAAAAAAATCACCATCGTGTTGGTGGCAATGTTCCTTCTCAGTCAAATGAATGATAAGATTTGAAACGTGCGCGAAGAATAGCCTCAACGGTTCCAGAATCGTTTGCAATGACCTTTGTTGTATTCTCTGCAGAGTGTGTGCGAGTCCAGCAACTTAAACCCTTGCGGCGACAAAGGTATCTGTATCCCAGATTACTTCAAAGAAAGCTTTAGATGTAAATGTGACGATGGTTATGAGGGAATACCGTGCGGTAAGTGTCAAAAGAAACGCTACCTCGGCTGGGTGTTTCTTTTTTATGGTATGTTATCCTTTCTAAATTTGTAGCTTAAAGGATTTCGTAGTTATTTTATAGCAAATAAAAACTTTGTTTGTCGGGTAAGAACGTTCAGTAATAATTCATTGCAAAAGAATTTATTAATGAATCCAAAAAGAGCACAAGCCAGTGTCTAGATTTCTATGTGGCCTAGTGACCCTAAACAAGGATTAGAAAAGTCGGTTTGAAATGTATCTTTAACTCCCAAATTAACTTATAGACTCAGAACTTAAACCCAAAGGGGTTATTTAAACTTAAATCTCTCATTCAGTGACAATGAAAGACTGCTCAAAACTTGGTGAGACCGGTTTTTCATCGAGTGGCGTATACTACATCATTCCAGATGGAGGCAGCCCTATGCAAATGTTCTGTCATCTGATTACGAACGGTGGTGGTTGGACAGTCTTTCAAAAACGGTTAGATGGTTCCGTTGATTTTTTTCGCAACTGGGAATCATACAAAAATGGGTTTGGAGATCTAAATGAGGAGTTCTAGCTTGGAAACGACAATCTTCACCGTTTAACATTTTCCGAAGATGTCATGCTTAGAGTTGACATGGAGGACTTCGACGGTAACATAAAATACGCTGAATATACAACGTTTCAGGTAGCTGACGAAGCAGACAAGTATCGCATTGTGATTGGAGGATACAGTGGTACGGCTGGTGACTCGTTGACAGATGCCTCCGAGATGAACAAAATCGCAAGGTAGGTTGGAATCCGAGGAATCTTTGCTTATGGAGTCCGGAACCCTGGAAATCTTTGCTTTTGGAGTCCAGAATCCAGGGCTTCGGAAAATATCACAAGCAATCAGGATCCCACTAGCGACTTTAATCTGGAATCCAGGTTCCACTGACAACGAAACCGGAATCCAGTAGCTGGAATCCGGAATCCTCGGCTTGGAATCCAGAATCCAAGACTATCTTGGATTCCTTTACAAGGGGCCAGGCAGGCGAATAAGCCCGAGGGAGACATTGCATCATCCAAGTCTATTGTAGATAAAAATACGCCTAATCTAAATTTGTGCATTAATTTTCTCCACAGTAACATGCAGTTTACCAACCAAAGACGCAGACAATGATCGTAGTCCAATTAGCTGCGCCCAAAGACACTCCGGAGGATGGTGGTTTAACAGGTGTAGTTCGGCAAATCCCAATGGATTGTATCATAATGGTCCTTATAGCGGCCAATATTCCGATGGAGCAAAATGGGTCACGTTTAGAGGACATTTCTATTCACTGAAACGCATTGAGATGAAACTAAAACCTAAACGTAAAAATCTGATTTCTTCAGATGTCAATGTGTTACGATAACATTTTGAAACGATGTATTCTTATATAGATGTGAAAACCTTTTTAAAAATTGAACTCTAACTAATGTTTTGAAGGGTCGGGGTCTCCTGGTTTAATTTTATACTAAATGGTAAGGCGGTGGACCTTCGTAAAGTTTATGAATTGTTCTTGTGTTTGTTTTCCAAAGGAAACAACTATAAACGCGATCGAATTTATTCTAAGCGCAAACGATTTCTTTATTCGGCTAGTAAGTAGCCTTTGCAACAAACCTTTCAAATCCCATCGAGTACCTTGGTAGCCCACTTCTTTAGCTGTGGTAGTCCACTTCTTTCGCAATGGTTATCCGCTTCTTCAGCTATGGTTGTCCAATTTTATTACCTTTGTTAGCTCACGTCTTTGGCAAATGATAGCAGAGTCAGACAGGGCGTGCAGACATGCTTTTTGTCTTTTTGCCATTTTCAAATCTCCCATAATACAGCTTTTTGTTTATTGTTGCCATGGTGATATCGATTTTAGTTAAAACTACATTATGACAAACTTGAATCCAAAATCAGTCAGTGTTGAAAATGTCATAGCGATCGAGCAAGGATAAAATTACTTTTAAGCTAAGGCGATTGAAAATTATCGGTATGGTCTCCGAAAAACTATATCGAAACACTTCACCGAAACCGGACTGGCCGCGCATGAAAAACCTCTGGCACCCAGAGTAACAGGTAAAGGGCCATTTTAATTAAAAGGGCGAAACTTTTTTTTTTTTTGGCCTTCCTATCTTTTCACAAGTTTTAAAACTAAATGAATTAACTTCATGTATTCGCATACATGTGTCATGAATTTTACTAATTTAATAAGAGAACCCTACTCAATGAAAAATCGGCAGGTGTCTTTGTTGATTGGATAGACCTTTATTCTATGGAAATTGTATTTGGATCACACACGCGTTAGTCTGGGGGCCTTAAAATCCAGCAACCGGTTCTTTGGCAAAACTTCATTTTTAGAAAAGCAAAATAGAAGCCGGTCCCGCCATCATAAATGTTTTTTCTACCTCTAATCGTTTTTTTCGTGACAACTGTACACAGTACAAGCCGTATTTCAGCACCTGAATTTCGAGCTGTTAACTTTGCTCAGGCAAAAGAAAGGCGAAAGTTGAACGGAAGCGTGATAAAGCAAGTTGATATGATGTCAGAGGATGAGTGTAGTCTTCAATGCGTCGGGGATGAACGATGCCTCTCTTACAACTTTGGGAATACAAGAAACGAATCAGGAACATTCGTGTGTGAGCTGAGTGATTCCGACAGATTTTTTGGCTTTGGTAATTTCACAGAAGATGACAATTTTACGTACAGAGGAATGCAGGTAACAATCGCTACGATATACATTGTATGAATTTAAGCTTTTTTAATTTAACCGTCTTATTTTCCCTTAAACAGGAAAATCCCATTTATAAATGATTTCACTATTTGATTGAGAAAGTTTCTCTAGACTACTGGGGGATTTCACGCTACAGATAATATAAAATAATTCGGACCGATTACTGTACTGTTTTCACAGTGACACCGTAAATTCGGTCAAACTATTTCAGGAAAGGTTGATCACCGTTCGAATAGAAGCTTTTTTCTTTCTTCCCTTCAGAATTTAGAAAAGACCATCTTTTAGTTGCGTCGATCACCTTTCGTATTCTCCAACATAAAACCCAAAATAACGGACACATACATTATTAACACTCCTTTGATTTAATTGGGACTCGTTCAATATAATTGGGACTAATTGGTGTTAGCTGTTATCGCCTGTTACCAGCCATAAGAGCCAATCAGGATCAAAATTATCAGTTTGGATGAGAGTTCGTCTAATGTTATAAGAATAGCAGGATGAATAATAATATATAATAGTACACTAAATCCAATCGCAAGTTTGTCAGAGAATAACATGATAATATGCTACATTCCACAAGTGTGAATTTGGCCAGTAAGATAAAAATCTATTTCATGACAAGTGTGCATAGTTCTTGAGTACATACTAGAATGCTGCACACATATATGCACATTTCAATTCATTCGCTTCCGTGAACTCATTTAACTTTTTTTAGTGTTTATTTATTAAAAACGTGAAAGTTTTATTCGTTTTCAAATAACCGATAGGCTTGTTAAGCTAGCACCAATGAATCTGTGGACTGTTCAAGGATAACACGAAAATCGAAAATTACTTGATGTCTTGAACTTGGATGAAGTGTAACTTATAACAAGCATGCAACTCTCCCAGGATCTCCCGATAATTAATCACTGATAAAATAAACTAAATGAGAACAGAAAACAGAACGAGTCAACACTGCCGAAAGTTTATCAGTTGTCACATGACCATTGCTGAAAGAAGGTCAAATACAGACCTGGACGGACTCTGCGTCGCATTATCAAATGCCTTTAAGTTCCTTTTTTGCTATTCCAAGCATTGTCTTAGGGATGGATATGATCGCCGGTCTTTTAAAAATTGTTTTCAGCAGAGGCTAGTTTTCTATTAGATTCTAGTTTGCCATCAATGTATTTTTAAGATCTTGTACCCCTGGGTGATATGTTGTAAGGAAAAGCAATAGTCTCACTTGACTTTTTTGCTTTTGTTTTTTAATTCGTCGACCTTCCTATATCTTGTGTAGGATACCCGCGTACCGCTCGAGGTCTTATTTAAAGTTCGCAGGGCACTCATCAAATATTTTGTTTTTGAAGAGTTTGTTCAAAGCAGTCTCATTGCTTTGCCTTCAATGAAGCCTCTTTTTACTCCCAGAGGGTGGTACGAGGTAAAGTGTGTATTTTTGTTACAGTCCCCACGGACTAAACGTCATCAATGTAACGATTCTTTAATCTTGGCGTGGTATTGCTTTGTTGGATTAGGTTTGTTTCAACCTCTGCCATGTACATGTTTGCAACAATGCTGTTTTTCAGCCCAATTCCATCCCAATGGGTTTGGAGATAATTGTTTCCATTAAACTCAAATGAGTTTTCTGTTTGCATTAGGCCAAGCATTTCCCTAAGGTAGAGTGTGGGGATCAGAGGATCATTGTTGAGAAACAACTCGTACACTATGGTGTATGCTTTGCATACTATTTCCGTTCCCTCTTCTTGCGATATGTTCGGGCACAAGATAGTAACACCCATTGATGCTAAAATAGCATCTTGGCCTTTGTTTCTTTTTGCCATAAAATTTATAAAATCAGTAGTATCCAAGATGTTTAGAAAAACTTTGCAATGCATGTAACTTTTATAACTTATTTTTTAACCCTCGAAAACAATTACATGTTGAATAGCAGCCATGTGATTTAAACTTAATCAACTAAAAGATTGTTGTATAATTTGGGCTAACGGCCATTCAGTGCGAGTCCTGAGCTGTACACCAATTCGACCTGCCAGGCAATTTTTATCGAAAATCAGTCAACTTCAATGGAGAAGGCTGAGAAAGTCTTCTAAAAAGTTACACCTGCACGAAAGACGACTTGTTTGATGCTTTACTGAACTCAAGCAATTAGCCTTTCTAAGAAAAATTTTAAAGATTACTAAATTAGCTTAATCTTTCAATGAAAAATTTCATTCTAATTAAATTAAAACTTACAAGTTGGTTTTAAGTCGTTGAACTTGTTTTTTTTTTTTGTTTTGTCCCTTTTTTGCGACCAACTGAAAAAATCGCCATCATGTTGGTGGTAATGTTCCTTCTCGGAATGATAAAATTTGAAACGTGCGCGAACAATAGCTTATAAGTCTTATGAAAAAAACTGTTCCAGAATCGGTTGTCAGTGATCTTTGTTATATTCTGTACAGAGTGTGTGCGAGTCCAGCAGCAAAAACCCGCCTTGCGGCGACAAAGGTATCTGTATCCCAGATTACTCCAAAGAAAGCTTTAGATGTAAATGTGACGATGGTTATGAGGGAATACCGTGCGGTAAGTGTCAAAAGCCTCGCTACCTCGGCCGGGTGTTACTTTTTATCTATGGTATTCTCAATTTGTGCCTTAAAGGATATTGCAGTTATTTTTTAGTAAATACAAACTTCGTTTTTCGAACCAAAGCGTTCAATATAACAAATCGTCGAGAAAATGCTAGTGGCCTAGTGCCCATAAACCAGAATGAGAAAAACTTGGTTTGAAATGTATCTTTAACTCCCAAATTAACTTAATAAACTCAGAATTTAAATCCAAAGAGGTTATTGAAATATTAAATGCCTCTTTCAGATACAATGAAAGACTGCTCAAAACTTGGTAAGACCGGTTTTTCATCGAATGGCGTATACCACATCAATCCAGACGGTGGAAGCCCAATGCAAGTGTTCTGTGATTTGATCACGAACGGCAGTGGTTGGACAGTCTTTCAAAAACGGTTAGATGGCTCCGTTGATTTTTTTCGCAACTGGGAATCATACAAAAATGGGTTTGGAGATCCAAATGGCGAGTTCTGGCTTGGAAACGACAAACTTCACCGTTTAACATTTTCCGATGATGTAATGCTTAGAGTTGACATGGAGGACTTTGATGGCAACATAACATACGCTGAATATACAACATTTCAGGTAGCTGACGAAGCAGACAAGTATCGTATTGTGATTGGAGGATACAGTGGTACAGCTGGTGACTCGTTGGCAGATGACTTCGAGAAGGGAAAAATCGCAAGGTAGGAACGGTTGTGACTAGAATGGATACCTTAAAATCTGGTTGGACACCTTATGTTTATTAAACAACGTTACCTCTGTACGACGCTATACTATATTTGTGACCCTATTTGGGAAAACCGGGCTTAACGAAAACCGCGTTCAAATGCATTTCAACGAATTTTAAATGCATTTAGAATGCATTACAACGCTGGAGAACGATTCACAACGCATTTGCAATGTTCCCCAATTCATTCATGAAACACCGCCAATGTTCTTAAATGTTCAAGAATGATCTTGAAATGATTTCCAATGCATTAGCAATGCACTGGAAACGCTTCACAAAGCTTGTTTAGAAAATTGTAAAATCAGAATGAAAATAATAATTTCAATTCACCTTTGGAGTGACAACGTGGCAAGTTAAATAAACTCTGCGTTCGGTCAACATAAAGATCTGAAAGATTAAGCCCCGGCTAAACGATCAAATAGTTTCATCCAACATCGTTTTGGAAGAGCATCTTTGACCGTTTAGCCGCCTCTCTCATACGCATTTAAGTGGCTTTTCCATGTTTGATCTTGGTCAAATATTTTCAACCAACATTTCGCGTTACGAACAAATGTTTAGAGACCTTTAGCATCAGGTAAACCGCAAACCGCAGACCGCAAACCGCAGTTACGCGTTTGCAGTTTCGCGTTGCCGAGATTTCAAACTTTAGCAAGGCGTTCAGTTCAGTTCAGTTCAGTTCATTTTTATTTAGCCAAAATACAATACAATACAAGAATACATATTGAAATTGTAAGGTTGCAAGGGAGCCCAGAAGAAACCAGAAGGCTTTATGAAGCCTGGGCTCCCCAGTCTAAAAGAGATAAGCAAAATAAAATGATATTCGCGGAGTGATACGTTAAAAATAGGAACCAAACAGAGACTGAGTTAAGTTATGAATTCAGAAACAAGATAGAAAAAAAAAATTTAACTCTGGATTGGAACAGAATACTTTGCTTTGTTGGTACGGCAGAAAGGAATATAAAACTGATTTGAACTACGCGTTCATTGTTTAGGGCCGCCATGTTGTTTTCATCAAGTCGAAGTGCATCACTTTAATCGCCCAAAACTCAGCAATAATTCATTGATTCGAGATCAAAAATCCAACAAACACATCGCAAACGGATACAAAAAGCTAGTTCATACCTTTAAACGCGAGGCTGTACAATTTTTGGTGGCAAAAAACCTTGCCGTAAATCACTTACCGCTGGAAGCCCTTCCTGCGGTTCAAACGTGAACTGCAAACTGCAAACGTGACTGCAAGGCCGTGGTCACGTGACATTTTGCGGTTTGCGGTTTCCCACGAAAAACCTGATGCTAAAGGTCCCTTTTGATCGTTTAGCCACCTCAACAAACAAATTGTGCACAGCTAGTAAAAAGCAACCTAATAAACTACAGAAATAAATAATTTCGAAATTTCAGCGATAATAAGCAAAAATTGTTCTGTGGACTCACTGTGTCTGGTGTTCGTTCGAGTTCCCTTTTTTTTAGAATGATTCGCTGCGCTGCTTGAAATGTTTTCAAGGACATGCGATGTACTGCACGTCGGTATTTTGTTTTCACTTTATTATAAACTCGGCCGGGTTTCGAAAAAAATAGCGTTGTTTTCTTGGCTTTGTCGTTCGCTTTTGGCTCGTAATTCTTTTTTATTCTTATTTTTCCATTTGGTGGTTAGATTTTTTCCCCAACATAAGATTTTCCAACAGAAGCGACTTTATTCTTCGTATCAAGCTTTTCTTATCTCCTCGTGTAATCTGATCCTTTTTAGTGGTGAGAATTGCTTGTTTCACATGGAAAACTTTTCTTTGTTTAGACTGTTGTTTTACAAGCTTCTCTTCGTTAAAACCTTGCATTAATGGCTCCCTAAATTAATACAATGCATCAAGTTTTCATTTTCCATGACTGCCGGGGCCAGATTTAGGTGAACAAACAATAAACGCGTACCACATTCAAGTTCAGTCTTCGCGTGCCGCTGAGGAAAGAACACACGTGCGCCAAGTATAGTTTACCGCCTTTTGATTGGCTGAAACTGTCACACCACTTGGTCTCAGGGGAATCTACATTACATGAGGTTACACTTTTTGAAGCTCGATCGAGAATTTTTCTGCCTACAGCCGAGTCTTGCGCGGCTCTATTCTGCTGCCGCCTCCCCATCCGAGCGTCTTCGCTCGGATGGCTCGTTGGCAATCAGTTTGAGAGCAAGTTATGATGGATTTTTATTTAATACGGGGGAATAATGCCGAAAGGAGAGAGAAGGACCGCAAACGTTTGTTCGTGACAATGCTTTGAATTGTCTGCATGTCACTCGTTAGCTGCTTGTTAGTGGTTTTCGTGGTTAACGTGGAAAAAGCCACGGACACGAAAGGTGAACGGCCTAGCGTTAACGATTAAATTTTGCACGGTGAAAACTAAATTGGCTGCCTCTACATCTTGGAAATTTAAAAGTTGTAAAATATCAGGTAGATTTCTAAAGTTCAATATTTTTTTAGAGCATTTGCTGCTCGATTAGGACACAGTGCATGTTCATTGATTTCGCCGACATATTCAAGGTTCTCGTGTTCTGTTGGGTTGTCTGCACTTTTGTGAATGTTTTTCAACGCGATACTGCTTCACTGAAATGCATTGTGAACGTTTTAAAACGCGGTGCAAATGATTCAAAATGAATTCAAAATGATCTTCAATGCATTTCGTTTTCGTTCGCGAACGTTCTCAATGTTTTCAAATGCATTGAAAATGATCTGTAATGCATTCGAGCGTTTCCAAAATGCGTTGAAATGGAAAAACGGTTCAACGGAGTTTTCGTTAAGCCTGGTTTTCCCAAATAGGGTCACATTTATGAGAATTTATTGGGTACGAGAACTCTTAGAAGAGTAGGAGACAGTTGTGCAAGGAAAAGAGTTGAATACAGGGTTTAGCAGCGAAGTACGGTAATAAGCGTTAAGCACTGTTTTAAAAACGGTCAGCCTTCAATAGTGTAATAATCAATGACATGTAAAGTACGTTAAAATTAACCGGCCTCGGAAGTTAGCCCTTGATGGTGTGGTGGATACGGATATGGATTTTACATCAAATGACGCGGGTTCAAGTCCTACATACTACCTATAATACTGTTTTCTTCTGTTTTCTTTCATCTCTTATTTACTTCTTTAAGTTATAAGACGCCTACCATGTATGTTGATTGAAGATGACAACCTGACTTTGTGATATCTATTCTAGTCACAACCAAGGAAGGTACAAAGCAGTGGCAGATCCAGACCTTCATACAAAGGGGGGTGGCCGATCATTTAGACCCTCAGATAAGGAAGGTCGGTCTCCAAAAAATTTTTTTCCGCCCTTCGGGCATAATTTTGGTCTAAAAATAAGCGCCCTATGTATGGTAATCCTGATTTCAGAATCCGGGACTGATTTTTGCTTGTGGAATCCGCAATCCTGGGCATTGGAAAATATCACAAGCAATGCGGATCCCACTAATGACTGTAATCCGAAATACAAGTTTCGCTGCCAACGAAACCGGAATCCTCAGCTTGGGATCCAGAATCCAAGACTGTCTTGGATTCCTTTATATGGGTCGAGACAGGCGAATAAGCCCGAGAGAGACATTTCAACATCCATGTCTATGGTGGAAAAAAATACCTCTGATCTTAACTTTCGCATTGATTTTCTCCACAGTAACATGCAGTTTTCAACCAAAGACGTAGACAATGATCGTAGTCCCCATAGCTGCGCCCAAAGACACTCCGGAGGATGGTGGTTTAACAAGTGTAGTTTGGCAAATCCTAATGGATTGTATCATAATGGTCCTTATAGCGGTCAATATGCCAATGGAGCAAAATGGACCACGTTTAGGGGACAATTTTATTCACTGAAACGCATCGAGATGAAATTAAAACCTAAAGAGTAAAAATCTAATTTTTTTCAGATATCAGGGTGATAGGATACGATTTTAGGACAATGCAATGTTACATACATGTCAGAACCTCTTTAAAGCTTAAAATTCAAACTAATGTTTTGAACGGTCGGTGTCTCCTGGTTTGATTTAAACTGACTAAACGGTAAGGTGGCCGACCTTCATAAACTGTATGGCCTGTTTCCACTACACGAATTTGTGTTAAATGCGAACGATTAATTTTTTTCGGCCAGTAAGCAACCTTAATTTGCAACAAACCTTTAACATCCCATCGAGTAGCTGGTAGCCCACTTCTTTAACTATCGTAGTCCACTTCATTAGCTATGGCACTCCACTTCATTAGCTATGGCACTCCACTTCTTTAGCTATGGCAGCCCACTTCTTTAGCCATGGTAGCCCACGTCTTTAGCTATGGCAGCCCACTTCGTTACCTATGGCACTCCACTTCTTTAGCTATGGCAGCCCACTTATTTAGCCATGGTAGCCCACTTCTTTAGCTATGGTAGCCCACTTCTTTAGCTATGACACTCCACTTCTTTAGCTATGGCAACCCACTTCATTAGCTATGGCAGCCCACATCTTTAGCTATGGCAACCCACTTCATTAGCTATGGTAGCCCACTTCTTTAGCTATGGCAACCCCCTTCATTAGCTATGCTAGCCCACTTCATTAGCTATGACACTCCACTTCTTTAGCTATGGCATCCCACTTCTTTAGCTATGGCACTCCACTTCTTTAGCTATGGCAGCCCACTTCTTCAGCTACGGTAGCCCACTTCTTTAGTTATGGTTCCCCAATTTTTTTCAGGTATGCTAGCCCACTTCTTTGGTATTTTGCATAAAAAAAACTTTGCAGTTTATTGGTGTTGAAGTAAAACATGAGACGAGGTTGAAGAGTTATGTTAAAGGCCGTAAGAATGGTAGTTAATTAAAAAAAGTAGTTCGTTAGTGGATCCACCCTTGAAAGGGTACAGGTAATTATCATGCCGCTCAACACGATTAATGTGAGTTTACACTATTTCATTTAAATGGTTACTTTTTTGTTTAAGATCTTCTTTCTAAGGGAAAAGGATCTCTTATTTAGTCTGAGAGCATGCAAACAATCAATTTGGCGCAAACGTTATTAGTAGTTTCCTTAAAGCAACTCCCTTACAACAAAACCTAACTTATTTGGATTATTTAGCGCAGGTTTAATTGAAAAACAAAACAAAAGAAGCTGATAATATACTTTTTGTTTTTTAAACTTTATTTTTCATCAAATTTTGATTTGACACGTGCGATATAACTACGAGAGCATCACATCTTCCCTGCATTCAGCACATCACTTCCGACTTTATGTGCCATGCTTTTCTTCAAGAACGCGTCAAAACGCAGTACAAAGGTGAGAAAAACCGTGTGTCACCTTGAGAGGGCGCGCCCATAAAAATATATCCAATCACCCGTAGAAAAAAGGGGCGGCAGAAAAGATGAAGCTATTGATATCCGACAAGGAAGAAATGAAATGTGTTAGTTATTTGTTATACTGATGAGACACAGTGTCACTCAATTCGCAATGTGCGTAATTAAAAGACATCACACTCACAATTCAGTGTCGTTTGGTCATTTTATTTTTTATTGCCATTACTACATCAAGTATTTTGTAATCTCTGCAAATTAAATCATCATTAGTACCTATATAATTAACTACTTTATTATAAATTTAGCCTTAATCGAAAAGAAAAAATCACACAGGCGACACATTAGTTTAAGTGTTTTTATTATACTGAGTTCACAATTTACAGAAATTAAGTACTTTACATAGATGGGGTGCGCTCCTAAGAATTTGATGACCAAGCAAGACCGAGGAGTGTGACATGTGTCCATGAAACCCTTGACACTTCGAATGAAACACACCAGGGTCCCCCAGACGGGCTCGCAGGGATATTTGGCAGCTTGCTATCGAAACATTGTCGATACTAGGCCTTCACATTTTTTAAAGCCGAATTCGGAATCAGATCGAAAATGAAATCGAAAACCGGAAAAAGCCGAATGGACCGAACCGAAAACTAAATCGCCTAAAAAAGAAAAAAATTCCACATACCTTGCGCCGCTTTGGATTATTACTTGGGCTGATTGATGTGGTGCAATATTTGCATAAGCTAAAAACCTTAGCTTTCTTACAAACACAACGTTGCCGAGGAAATTCAATCTGCCAATGATTACGCTATTCCAGACTAAGCGAGTCAGCTTTGTGCAAACTTTGTACCGGCATAAATCAGCCCTACCTTATATGGGCCGCTGTACACTGTCATGTTCCTCAACCAAAGGACCAAGGAGACTGGTACTCACAATCCAATACACCAAGGCGTAGATATATATTGGAAAGAAAAAGAAGTCGTAGAAGTCTAGGATGGCGGAGTTGTCCAAAGGTGAAGTCCGGCCGGCCAATTAATTTTTAATGATAAAATATTAGTAGCTGTCTCAACTAAAATTGAACTGCGCGACATCAAAAACTGCGGAACAGGGGATCTGAGATAACAAAAATTAAACTACTTTCAGAATTATCGTGAGTAATTATTTTTAAGAAAAATTGAAAGAGATGGGTAGATATAGTCCCTCACAGAGATCAACGTTAGTTAAGACAGCTCTCTTTAAATTTATTGCTATATGCTGTCTCCTCTGACTTTACCTTGCCTTCCTAATGATGAAGACGTTTTCACTACGATGTCATCGGCTTCTGTTTGCAAAATTGCCAATCTACATTCAGCGTAATTTTAATTTCAATCAATTTTGAACCAAGCCGACGGCAACGAAACTAACTTTAGTAGAAGCAGAAATAAGTCGTAGTGTAAACGATCATCATCATCATCATCATCATCATCATCATCATGGTCGTCATCATCGTGGTCATCATCATCATAATTGTCTGGCTTGGTCCTGAAAAGGCAGCTATTTTGGCTACTTAATTAACCGGACTATCTTTCTATACATCTGGAAAATCTTTGTTCTTCTTTCTTCGGCCGGCCTCTTCCCTTGATGTAGCCATGGACCCACAATACAATACAATACAATACAATACAAAGCAACACCATACAATTCGATAAGATATATTTTATTCACAATTCCAAAAGCAAATACCTCTTGTTACAAGATTCAGAAATAAGTTAAATAAACGGTGTGCTGCTTTAGGATTCAGTCCCAATCATGACGTACTTCAAGAGCTGTGGGGGTAGAACACTGCAGGCGACTCTCAGCTCAGGACGAATAAGACTTCAAGCCACGAACGGTCGACGTGAAGACTACGTACGCCTACCATTTGTAGACGGTCTGTGCCTGCGTGGTGTAATGAAGGGCTTCCTAAGAAGAAAACCCTCCAGCGGAGCAAAATTAACAAGAAGACAAACCATATCGTCTTAGTGTCAACGATGCAAAGCCAGAGTATCCTCTCCTATTTTCCTGTCGTCTCTAAAAGACTATCTATAACCTGCGAGGTTTTCACCTGAATGCCATTCATTCAGAGGCACACATGTAAAGGTACGGTGGGCCTCCGCATGTGTGTCCCCGAAATATTTCACCTAGCAGCATTCTCGTGATTACTTCGCAGAATGCTAACATTGCTAAAAGCCTGTCGGCTTGTGCGGGCTCCTCCATCGATGAAACTGCGTCGTAGATTGGTCTCGAAGACTTCCTACGCTTACGATTTGTAAGCGATCTAGCCTATGGTGTGTGGATTGTCCCGTGTTACCCTGGTAACCTGCAACAAAGTGTTGACTCTTCGCCGGAAGAAACGCCCGGTCGCAGATTACCTTCTTTGTAAGACTAAACCTTTTAACTGATCTACCCTAACAAGTTCGAAGTCTGAAAATCAACGCAAATCAAACATTTCCGCTTAACATTCGTCCTCAGTTTAATGTGAAAAGTCACATTGGTAAACTTAGGAGCAGACTCGAATATGCGAGACTAAACTAACTATCTACCTGTAACCAGAGAGACCATTGAGCTCGTAAGTGGTCACCAAACAAGGTCCTCTCACTGAAGCTGAATGATCTGAAGTCTCAAGCTTACTAAGTTATGTCTTTAATAATAATCAATATCTGGTTGAACCTTACGAATGAAAGCTTCACTTGCCCAGCGCATAGACTGTCAAGTGAAGTGTAATAGATAAACTGAATTTGGCGCAATTAAGCGGGAGACTGCAGTGAAGACGATGACGACGACAGCGAAGTCCACGTGAAAAGGGCGCAGAAAGTCGGAGCCGAAACGAGTCCTAAATGCCAAACCGAATCCTAAAAGCCGAACTCTCGTCGTTGACCGAACACCTGCAAAGGAACCCAACTTATTGAAAAGGGCAGGGGAGGCCCTAACCAGCCCAGGGAGCCCACTAGCTAATCTAACTACAGTTAAGTTAAGCCGAATAAGACGTCCGGATGGTTCAGGCCGAAAGCGTGTGAATAGTATGCTTTGCAAGGTTCATCCAGAGCTCTATATACCCCCCTTTACCCAACCCACAAGGAATGTACCTGACCTGTACCATTTCAGGAGGTTGGGTGTACTGTGCTGATTTGAAGCTGAGTAGTCAAGGGCAGTAGTCTGGTAGGCTCATCTGATCTTGTAGTCTGGTGTGCCCGTAGCGGTCTGATCTAATGGTCGTCTGATTTGGTGGACGTATCTGATTGTCAGGAGTGGTATTCGGATTTGTTAGTCTGATCTGGACTCCGATCGGATGGTCTGTTGTGGGGTGGATCTTATGCACTGATTTCTGAAGGTATGCCTGTGAAAGATGGTCTGGTCTGACAGCTGAAAATTGAAAATGTAAAAATATGAGGTTATAGTAGTGAACGGCTCTAATGAGCCTGCGAGAGAGCTACTTAAAAAGAACTGGAGGAAAAAATACAAACGTAAAGTTTTCACATTCAGTTGCATGGACTTTGAAAAGCACTCTAGGCTAAAACATTTTACAAAGACCCAGCCATAGTGATACAGGACCGGCTGTGCTGACGATCTTTTATAATCTTT